AATTTGGTCACAAATAGTCACATATAACACAAGTATGGTCACGCCCAATAAACCTGATCACATATAACACTATAAATCACAAATATGGCCACCTACAATGCACCACTACCGCCATCACAATTTTTGGAGATCTTTCTACAGTGGCGATGGAGTGGGGTATAGAGAGATCGTTTTCAATTTTTGAAGATTTTTCTACCGTTGTATGGATGTGATCTCTTGTTTTCAATTTCTGGAAATTTTCAAGGGCTGGGGGTGAGGTAGGATGGTTCCGTGGGAGAAGGATGTAATTTCCAATTTTCAATTTCTGGTAAATTTTCTCAAGGGTAGTGGTGAGGGTGGGAGGTGAATATGTAGATTAAATTTACCACCACCACCACGACAACAACAACAACAACAACTACTACTACTACTACTACATACCACCTGATTTATGAAATATTTCAAGGAGTCTGTTAGTTGTGAAATGTGCTTCTTATATGTAAAAGTTGTGTATTGTTCCCTCAACTACCAAATGTACATTTGAAACTCTTATTCATCCTATCAACAAATAAACAATGGTGAAATATTGAGTAACTGGACTGTTTACTGCTATTGAGTAACGAAAGCAAAGTAACAACACTTCTCTATTTCTGTGTCTACCATCCTACAAAAATCCGTAAAACCCAATGTACAAGTATTCAACTGACAGGCTCATTATTCTTTTGCTTAGAACTTAGAACAGCAAAGGTTCTTGAGGTCCCGTTCCTTTGTATACCAGTCAGGTACTATCTTTGCAGCATGGGGGTAGATATCCTTGTAGGTATTCTTGATAGTCCCTTCTGCTACTGTAGTTGCAATTGAGATATCTGCGAGGACACCATTTGAATGACAATCATGTATGTGCACAAACAAACAAGATAGTAAACGCTCAAACCTCGCAGGGGTTTCTTCGAGTCTGACAACTGCGTAATCATGAAAATAATTGCTGCAGCAATAGATATAGGGCTCCTCCTACAAGAGAAAGGATAATGATACATTGATACTCCTAAGCATGGGGTAACTTACCGAAAAATAGCAACTTCTGAGAACGTTAAATAAAGTTTCAAATGGAAGGTATGAATGACAAAAGACCCGTTTTCATCTATACTTCCGGTTCAATTAAAAGCACGAGCTCCATTTGATTATAAATCCAGGATATTTACAAAGGGAATTTATATCAGCAGGTTTAATCATGTACAAAGTGAAATGGATATTGTGGTTGCCATCATGGTCTGTATATCAGATCATTGTCAATATAATTGTAGCATCCCAGACAAGATTCAGAAAGATCAACGTCACCTTTCTTTTCCCTTTCCTAAAGTTCTACTTACCATCCAATCAGCATCATCTTGTGTTCAAGTGTGAAATGATGCAGAGCTTTAACGTTCTATAGATATAAGAAGAAGCAACTTTCTTGCACGACAAACATTTTCAAGCATAACAAGAGCTTCTTACATGAGAAACAATGTCAAGCATAACAAGAACTTCTTGATTTAGTTTTGGATAGTTGTCCGACTCCCTATGTGGGTGTTTTCAAGGGAGGGATGTCAACATTGTCAAGTCCAGTTCTAGTGCTTCTTATTATGTCAAGGTAAGGTCGGTGTAAAACTTTGACAACCCTAATAAACTCAAAAGTTTCTTAAAAAAGATGAGGAAAATGGTTTGATCATGTTAAGGCAAATAATATGACAATACCTTATATCGAATTCTCCTGATTTCAATACGGTTTCTTCGACAGCTTTGACCTCTTCATGTCTCATACCAAGATTAGAACAAAAACGTCTCTGGAGAAAAAAAAAATGGTGGGACTATAATAAATTGAATGTCAAACAAGACTCACTACCAACAGAAAGATCTTGGAAAGACTTGGAACCGAAGCATAAAAGATCTAGTTGAACAACTTGCTAAAAAAACACACCAAATAGTCTTCTGCATGTATAGTACCCATCTCCATTGATTCACCCATCTCAACCTTCAATTGTTTCACAATAAATTCTTTTGCTCTGCCAATTTCTTTTTTTGTAGCTCCAGATGCAATAGAGCAAATTTCTAGTTCATACCCATAGGTTCAGTAGACTTCACATACAGAATATTAGTAAACCACATTTGAAAATAGATTACAGGTGGCACCTTTTACAGTGCGAGGCTTGCCTTCTTGCCGACAAGCAATATAAATGCAGCCAGCAACTAGTGCCTCCAAATTTCTTCCTCTAGTACACTTCTGATCTTCCAACCTTTTATATATTTCACTTGCCCGATCCTTCATATAAATGGACCATCATGGGAAAAGTTTGAAACTGAGTGAAAATATGACAATTTGCAAGATATGTCAACATATCAAGCACTAGAAAAATCCTTCCAATGATATAAATAATCCATGTTTAGCAACTCAGCAGATTCAACGTATAGGGAGTTAGACTTTAAAAATAACAGAAAATTATATTGGTGATCGTTGACAACAAGGTTGCATCTCGTGTCACATGAGAGCACAGAATCTCACGTCACCTGCAAGCAATCTATCTACAACAACCAGGCCTCACCTTTCATGAAGCCATCAAGCATCCACCCTCCCCACGAGCCACCCCCACCACCCCGCCAAAAAAAAAAAAAAATTGGCGATGGTGGGGAGCCACTTGCAAAAGGAGAATATACTAGATGGACAGGAAAAGACAGAGAGCCAACATCCTAGTAAAGTGACTCTTAAAGATATATTCTAAGAACATTGAAAAATGAGAAGTGAATATTTAATTTTATTAAACTAAAGATAACTCCGTATCTCTACGCAGGCACACACTTTGACAGAAGAAAATATATGAGCACAAGCCATACCTTAATGGTTGTCACAAGGCTCAACCTGGGAAGCAGAAAAAATGAAAAAAAAAAAAAAAAAGATTAATATCAACTGTGTTTATTTTGATTCCTATCAAATAGCCATTAAGCAAATGAAAAGAAAACTGAAATTAAATTAAGCATAAGAGTGGCAACATGAAATGGTTATCTTCCAGACTAGTAACATATATGAAAAATTCACCAGATGACCACAAATAGATATCATCACCGATTGAGTGTAACCAAATATCAGTCTGAAAGATAATTGAAAGAGACTCTGAGACTCATTTAGTTAATGATTTTTCTGCGGAAGTCTAACACGAAAAATGTTTGTTAACCATCAACATCATGATCCTCTCTACAGCTTTCAGCGACATCTCAGTAGAGAGAAATTCTGGTTCTACTACAAAATCACTATCCCACTAACAAAAAGAACTCTTAAAACAGCGTTGAAAACAATACAAGACATGATAATCATTAATTTCTCAGTCAAAATCGAATTATGTAGATTCTACCTGTTAACTCAGATTCAAGTCCAGAATCAAGAAACAACTGATTTAAGTATAAACGTATATTTCCACTACTAAACTAATTCTTCTACTTTACTGCTTTTTTTCGTTCCCCTGTCTTAGTTATGAATCAGAATGTTCAAAATCAATGCACTCTCATCAGTTTTCGTTCTCTTTTTCCTGGTAACTTCCATCATTCTCAAGAAGTTATCGTTTCTCCAGAGGAATCAATCAAAACCCTTTCTCCAACTTAAAACCAAAAGAATTCCAACAAATCCCAAAAAAATAAATAAATAATTTCCAATTTTAGAACATTTTTATTAAAAACAAAACAAGAATCCTTTAAAGTTTTATCTATAAACCCTTCTAAAATCCCGAAAACGAAAATTTATGAAAATAAAACGAAACAAAGCAGACCTATCAGCCATGTTCGTAATGGACTTAAAGGCAACGACAATGGCACGGTGAGGATCGCCCCCGCGGTTCTTCAACCGGGCGAGAGAGACATCCCCATTTGGTCCATTAAGCCCAGGGGACATGAAAGTCGACAGAACCCCGTCGGACAGGAGCGGGTTCACGGGCACACCAACCCTATTCGGGTCATTCGACCCGGAATCATCAGCAAATGTACGCCACTCGGAAGTCTCATCGATAGAGCGTGATTCCAGCACAAGACCGCACTCGGAGCACACGGTGTCTCCCGCCGCATGATCCAATACCACTTCCGTGTATCGCTTGCAGTCCGTACAAAAAGTGTCAGACATTTTTTTAATTAAAAAGTTCAATATTAACAAAGCAATGTGAATTTGGGCTGCAGGGTTTTCTCACTGGGAAGAATTGAAGAAACCATGAGGTCAAAGAGGTATATATAGATAAAGGAAACGTATATTTTGGGGGCCGCCTGTACGGTTTGTAGGGCCCACTTACTCTCCAAACACCTTTCTGCCTTCGTCAAACATTACTCGCATGAGAGTCATCAAACATCCCGCTGTGCCAAATCTTTCAAAAACTCGCACCGAGTCCAAATGGATAATTTTTGTTAATTTGACCGTTAGTTTACCCTATAAATTGATTTTGACCAATTTTAAAGGATAAAATTGTAACTTTGAATTAAATTAAAACAAAAAATGAAAAAGCCAGCTCCACCTCAAAAAATATAAATAAAAAGAAGGTACTGTTCATCCCCCAACCCCCCACACCTCACCCTAGGGCTGGACATGGTCCGATCCGCTTCAGTTCACTTTAGAACCGAACTGAATCGAACCAAAATTTTCGAGTATTTAATAAATGGAACCGTTCGGGTTCGGTTCAGTTCGGTTCGGTTCGATTCGATTTTGTTCGGTTCCATACCATAATTAAATTTTTTAACAGATTTTTAATGGTCAACGATCTGTGATCGTAGTTGGAGGTCATGGCTTCGTTGGGCATTGGAGAGGGGAAGTCGAACTCGGCAATCAGCGATTTCGATTTGGGCATGTANGATGTAGATTTTCAATTTATCAAATAATTTGGGGTCATTGATTTAGTGGTTATCGAATGAAAGTGTGACATTGGAAAGTGAAGGATAAAAACTTAAAAAGATCTAGATCTTGGATTAAGAATGAAATTAATAATATGACAAAAAAATTAAATCAAAAAATTGAATTTAGAAATTGGGTTGGGTTGGGTTGGGTTGGGCTGGGCTGGGCTAACTAGACATGGACTTGGTTTGGGAGTTAGAACATTAATCACTAAATTAGTTAATTTGCTAATTTGTTTAGAAAAAAATTAAAAAGATTAAGTAATTCAATATAAAAAATTATTTAAATTCAGTTTTTATTCGATTATTCGATTTTGGGTCTAGAATCGAGAACCGAACCGAACTGAACCCAACCCGTCGGTTCTCGATTCAGATACCCGTTAGGGTATTTAACTTATGAAGAACCGCTCGGTTTGATTCGGATTCGGTTCAGGAGTTTTGTCCAATCCTACCCCACCCCAAACTAACCCACCCCAAATTCATCATCACATTTCAAGTCAATGTGATCTGTAATGTGAATAATTGAGCTATCGCTTGGCAGCATTTCAACTCTCACAAAGTAAGGGGAGGCCCGCTTAGGCCACTAGTCGATCACATTGGATGGAAGAACAACCACCGCAGTTGATACTTTGGGGATTGAATTAAGAGTCAATTGAGATGTAGTTGGACCAATTAATCGTATACCCATAGTCATCGGAGTATGAATATGAGACCTCACGGGTGAATTTGTGAATTGAACAATGGGAAAACCACCAATTGGCTTGAATATGAGAGCCCCCGTTCGCACGCGTTTGGATGCGAAATTCCAAAAACTTTATTGATGTTCTGGCCCTATTTTGTTCAATCATCACCATCATATTGAGGACTTGTGGTGTAGGAGTCGACTGGTGGTGGTTCGAGAGGGTGGGTGTGGCCGTTAGGTGGCTTTCCGCCGGAAATGTCAATGTGTTCTATGGTGAGTTTTGATAATAGTTTTTTCATTTGAGATGATGAAATTCAAAATAAGATGGTGAGTTTTGTGGTGAAAGTGGCAGGAGGCGCGATGACAGTGGCTATGGTGGTTGTGGGTTATTTTAGGGTGCAGTGTGAAGGAAATGGTTAACGGTACCTTTTTTGGGTGGGGTAGGGGCTGGGTCTAGCTTTTTTATTTTTATTTATTTATTTTAATTCAAAATTATCATTTTGTGCCATTGGTCAAAATCAATTTCTTGAGTCAACTAACGGTCAAACTAATCGAAATCATCCATTTGGACTTCGGGTGCGAGTTTTTGAAAGATTTGGTGGCAATTTTCCCTATTTTTAAGCTCCTATTTGGTGGCCATTTGTTTTGGAAAAATATGTTTCGAATAGCGAATTTTTAGAAAATATGTGGTTAAAAAGTAGGAAATTTTTTTGAATTTACGTGTTAAATATTTTATCGTGTGAATGTGTAGTTGAAAATGAATATGTACAAAAAATAGTTTTGAAAGAGAATAATGATATATGTATATCAACCATAACAATTTGGTTGACATTTTCCCTATGTGGAGGAAATTTGTTTAGTGATGTGATAGATGAGTTTAAAATCAAGAGTATGATGTTATTATGTGTAAGAGTGTAAAGGAAAGTTTAAGGAAGAGTGTAAGAGTAGAAATGTTTGAAAGAATGGTGGAAAAAAAGGACTAAATTTTAACAGTCCCAAAATCACATATTTTAAATGTTTAGTTTGGTGCATTTTTGATACAGCTTAAAATATTATTTAATTTAATGAAATATACATTTTATGAATTCACAACTTCATTATTTTATTCTACTTGATTTAAATAAAAATAAGATTTTTAGTAAATTTTGTTAAAAGTTAATGAAATATATAATTAAAAAGTGCTGAAATAATATTACTTGTATATAAACAGTTACATAGAGCCTGTTTGGTACAGATTCTCTCATTTTCAATCACATATTTTTCAATAAAATAATATTTTCCATCATATCAATATTTTTTTCTTCTTTTTCAACCACAGATTTCCCATCATATTACTATTAAAAAATCAATTCTTCCCCCAAAAATTCCTACCAAATAATAATGATTTACATACATATGACGTGTCAAAAAGAGAGTGATTTTTTTTATTGGTTAAAGAAATTCTGACTCAATCATATATCACGACATTATGTGTATGTAAACCTATTGTGTATATGTAGTACAACCGAAAGTGGTGATCATGTTAACTCTCTTAGAATAATGTTACTTGTATATAATGAATTATAAAATATTTTACATAGTGTCAAAAAGAGAGTTGAGATTTTTTTTTTTTAATTTGATTAAAGAAAATTTGATTCAATCATATCTCACAACATGATATATAAACCCATAGGTGGGTGCAAGGGTTGCTCCTTTTTTTTTTCACCATTAAATTTTCTATATTTTTGTTTCAATTTTCGAAATCATTATGAGATGTGAAACGAAATCAAAATATTGCATTCTTAATACTATTTTGAAGTGCTCACGGTCTAATTTTCTACGTCGCTAATGGTGTACGAAATTAACAATCGTAGCAAATGCTACGACTTGTGAAAGTAGACCGTTCAAAATTAGTATTTCGAAAATTTCGATAACATGCTAATTTTAAAAATTCTCCGACGATCGTACGCTAATCGAATATAGAAATTGCTTATGTCATCTCAATATTTCGAGAACTACACTATAGGCATATCGAATAGTCCAAACAGATATAAAAAAT